ATATATATGAAAAAAGATCTATTTAAGAATAAGTCTTTATAGACATACTTCACTCAATAACTCATATTTTACATCAAATTTCAACAATTAAATTTTTAAATTAAAAACTTTTAATGCATATATTAAGTTTATAATTATTTTAAAATTTAAAAATTATTTGATATTCTATTTTATTAACTCAATTTATCAGATAATTATAAAAACATTTAATACATGAATTTAAATATATATATATATATATATATAATTTTCACATTTTTTAAAAATTTATAGACTTGATCTATACTTTAAAAAATTTTAATTTAACGATTGAATTGTTAAAATTTAATATAAAATATAAGTTATTAAATAAAATAAATCATTTCATACTTACTCTTAGAATAAGTAAATCCCTTCTTTATAAGTATTTGAATAGTTGAGAGCCTTGGACATTTGAGAAATTTGTGATATGTGAATTGTGGAAGACTGAGTAAGGAATTAAGCAAAGATGTTGTGAAAGACTAAGTATGAGACTTAGACGTTTGAGGAAGTCTAAGCAAGATGGTTAGCCGACTGAGATTTGAGAACAATTAAGATATTATCGATTACAACTGATTGACTCATAATATATATATTTGACATGCATCATATGCAACTATATACATACATCCCACATCCACATAATCGTGTTTCACATGCCATTTAATGTTTTTATATGCATACTTAATGGCTCAAGTCAACAATTTTATAGTTATTGACAGAAGAAAGGGGGTATAAACTCAACTTATGATTGTGTAGTTTCTAATAAAATTAAACGAACAGTAAAAATGTACTAAATCATGTGTTAGATAGTGTCACTAGAACAATTCTCAAAGGTGCATTACTTGCAATTTTGTAACCTATCATTTGACCTAACCCTTAGAAGCTGACCGCAAATATATATAATTATTATTATATACTCCAAATTTAGTCGATCCAAGAATATCGAAAACGTTATTTCATATCCAAAACATCTTAGCCCAAGGAAATGTCAATGTACTATTAAAGTAAACATAACTCAATCAAAAGCTTCAAATCGATAAAACTCATGTCATGTTAAAAAAAAAAAAAAAAAAACTAGACATCAAACTCCTGTTTGAGTAGATAATAGCAACTCAACTTTTTGTTCTACTTTCAGATTGCCATAAGGTCACCGTAATTTCTCATAAGTACTATTGATCCAGCAAACAATCCAGCAGCACGCAGCAATTTCTGCATGTGAAAAAAACAAAGGAACAGAGAATCAGCATTAATTCTAAACTAAGTCAAGCTGCAGGATATAAACAAGAATTAACATGAAGAAATTCCGTTATAATTAAGAAAAATCTAAACAGCACTAAATAGCCATAAGGCTTGCCACAAGTCTTATTCATGTTCCTGGGATCAACACTTCGTAACAGCATTTCCTCTAAATTAAGCTCATGTCTCATGAGTAACCTTATTAACCAAAAAGTGAGAGGTTACAGCAGCTATTCACTACTGCTGGATAATCAATTTCTCGGGTTCAACTGCCTACAATATAATTTCTACAATAATCACAAATCAGGCATCCTGTCCTAAGAATTTCCCAGCAAAACTAATCACAACCAACAATGTTTCACATAAGAGAATGTTTGAATTCCTATGAAACTTAAGAGGACAACGTAGTCTCTAACGTAGTGCTTGGTTGGATGGAAATGGAGGAAAGATGGGAGACTTTTATAAGTTTTTTCTGTTTGGTTCAATTTTTAGAAAGAGAGGGAGCAAAATTCCTCCTCATCTAATTTTAACACTCCTCTAATATTTGGGAGTTTGGAAGGGAAGGAAAGATATTTAAAACATTTTATAAGGATACAAAAATAAATTAGGTTTTAAAATTTCTCCCTTACCTTTGTGAATCAAACAAAAATAAAGAGCTACCACCCCTCTGCCCTATTAAAATCCCTCCCCATTTTTGAACCAAACAGTCCATAAGACGTAGGCAATAAGAAGAGGATCGACATTTTCAAAACTTGAAAGTAACATAGCAGATAAGGGTAAATCTAGCTAGAGGAAGAACTATCCAAAAGTCACAAGATCATTAACACGACTTTAAAACTTGAAAGTAACATAGCAGAAAAGGGTAACAACTAGCTAGAGGAAGAAATATCCAAAAGTCACAAGATCATTAACACGACTTTAAAAATTCAGACATGGGTAGGTGCAAATGCAGTCAACAGTAGCCTCATAATCCACAAACTCACAAGGGATCTTCGAGTTCAAAGAAGATTCAAGAACTGAACTCCTCCAATGACAATGGCAACAGATTCAATACCACAAGGTATAAAATCACGGGGCTATTATGTTGCAATGATGAATAAAAAAAAATGGGGAGGGGGGCAACCAACCCATTTCGCAAGCTAAAGGTACTCATCACAAAAAAAATAAAATTTCAAGTTTCTTCCTTCACACATTAAAACCAAGCACAATTCTCATATGTACAACTGTAAAATTTCAAAATACATAGGGACTATTGCTTTATCTCACTCTCATTGTTTCACAGAACAAAAAATAAAAATGGCAGCAACCTTGGCAATTTGATCTGATGGCATAACAATGAAACTAAGCCATACTGAATCAGATATTAACATAAATCAGAATCAAGGGAAAACGGAAGGGAAGGGTGCGAATCGAATTGAAGAAAAGGAAAGAGGGAGAGAGAGATTACCACATTGAAGGCCCATTTCTCATCGTCGTAGATTTGAGAATTGACGAAATCTTTGAGGTACTGAATCGAAACGACAGAGTCGGCCATTGATGAGATACGAAAGGCGAAAATGAACGAGAGCTTGCTATTAGGGTTGGGGTTTTGGGTTTTGCGTTTTGACGATCAGAGAGACAAAGGACTGTTTTTGTTAACTGGCACGTGCAAGAGCAAGAGTGCCAAAATGCGTACCATTTTTTTTTTCTTTTTGGGAAATATGAATATTTATATATTTATTTTATTGTTTTAATTTGTCGATAAGAAATAACTAAATATTTATATATGGGTTTGCTTTAGATTATTTAAATCATAATTAGAAATTTTGGATCAAACTAATTGGTCCGATGATATAATAAATCGATGTAAAAACAATGATAGAGAACCGATCTTAACTTTTTTTTTCTTTCTATTATACAATTTTTTTTATATTTAACCGATTTTTTTTAACCAACACCGATACAAGTTATAAGTTCACTTATAAATTAATATTATTGTCTCTTATTAGTAATTTTATACCTTATAAGATATATAGTGCGGTCATTTATGTTAATTAAAAAATATACTATTAAAAAATGTATATTTATTTAATACCAATTCAATCACAACTAAATTAAAAATCATGAACATCTTTATTAAGTTTTTTTTTTATTAATAAGATTACGGTAACAATAATAAGAATCAAACTTAAATTATCATGCATTTATCCCAACCTTATTATTATACTGATTTTAATAGTTTTAAAATTACGAACATAAGAATGTAGGAAATTTGGATATTAAATAAACTTGAAATAGGTAGAAATCAAAATTTTTATAGCATTCAGTCCCAAGCGTACCATAGAATTCTTGTTATCCAAGGATTATACTATTCTAGTGTTGCTTATTTGTGGCCATTTGAAATTTGAGTCATTACAACTAGGACGGATTTTTGGGACGTCAAGATTGATCCTTTACCCTCTTCTTTAAAAATAAAATATTGCATATACAATTTTTAATAATCTAAAGCAAAATTAGGTAGCCTTATATTTAATAACATAATTATGTTTGTTTAAGTTTATTCTGTATGAAGCCATCTGTTGAACTATTTTTGAATATTACAACCCCACTATACAGGGGGGAAATCTGAGAACGTGTAAAATAGTGTATTCACTCATTATCTGAATCGGAACGCCTAAAGATTTAACCAATATTTTAAAATTAAATAAAGGTGAATGCACCTTCATGAAGAAAATGTCAACTAAAGCCGATAAAAAAAGACATGCACAGAAATCCTGCTACACTCGCTCTAGGCTTATCGGTGAAAATCGTAGACAGTTTCCATTAGGTTTATGAAAAAATAAAAAGGAAAAGAATACACATAGTACCAATTTACATATAAATCTTCCACAACAGAGATTGATGTGACAACTCAATCGGAGGAACGTTCTAGCTCAATAACTTAGCAAAATGGAAGCAGAGAAGTGTATTGGTAATGGAAAAAATACATGAACTATCCAAAACACTTCTGCAAGTACTAATGAACCCACTAATCTTCCATTGAATGATTGCACCGAGGAAAATCAGAAACCTGAACTTGTACCTAAACAAGGGGAAAAGAAAAAGGTGTTTGGCTTCCTTTTCCTATAAAAAAAAAATAATAATAATAATCAACCCACCAGCTTCTTTGTATTGTTTTTTTTTTTCTTATTTCATTAGCCAATATGATCATGCTGCTGAAGCTGGTGGTGTAGCATTTCGATTCCCCACACCTTGACGTCCACCACGCCCACCTCCATTTTGATTTGGCCGTTGAGAACTCCTAGGTTGCCCTGAGAATTCTCCTTGGTTTCTGAATTCATTTCTGCCATAACCCCGTCCACCACCAAATTTCCCACGCGCCCTGAAACTGTCGCTTCGGAATCCACCTCTTCCTGAAGGATACCTCCCTCTCCCACTACCGCTGACTAGAATAAGAACAAATAGAGAAAAGTGTGTAATCAACATCAATGTGTTAACCTTGTTTTAATCAGCATCAAATATGAATAATGTTTAACTCAACATAAAAGTTAAAAAGAAAATATATCAGTATACCTCGTGTAGTAGTTCTCTTTTCCTCCACAACAGCTTGTCGCTCGCCAACAGTGATAGGGGAAGCCTGAAATTAGTTTTAGCAAGATCCTTGATCAGCATCACATGTCGAGAAATGGATGAAAACCAGACAAAGTAAAAAAAATGCAAATATCCCTACTATAGTAATGAGAAAAGAAAACTAACAAGTAAATAATGATGCTAGAAATCATGTGATGTGACGATGTTACATAGTAATGTTACAATGACGAGAAAATAAAAAATAGAAATCATGTGACCACTGGTGCCTGGTGAGATTATAGCCTTATTGACACCAACCAGCAAATAAAAAGATCAATAAAAAATAAGTTTGTAAACAATAAAACACGTGAAGACAAACAATAAAAAGATGCCATGTATCAGCAAGTTGGATAAATTTAATTTAAGTAAAGATAGATAAGCTTAAGATATCATGAAGATGCAACAAATTTCAGAATAAGTGGAATACACTGTAATTGTTCTAATCTGCACTGCACTGCAGGGTAGGGTACAAAAAAAGAATTCAACAACCACACATTCTCTAGTTATATTATCTAATAAAAGTGAATCATGTAAGTAACATCTTTGCCAAACATTGGGCGATGGTAAAACAGATACATAATACAACACCTAAATGTTTCTATCCTTTATAAAAAACAAAAAACTATTGTTGGACGAGTAATCCAACAGCAAAATTACAAATCCAAAACATCCCATATCCCACTTGGTCCCGTTTACATCAGTTAGACAAGGTTAAAGTTATTTGGACCTGCCCCAAAAAATTCATAGCACCCAGAACAGTAATAGTGAACTTATTGTCGGCATGTTGAGTACTGCAAATGCAATGTTATCTGAAACATTGTAGATAATTTTCTAATTATATGGAAAATTATCTGCATCTTTTTACCAAAAGAGAGATTGGATTAAGAGAAGACAAGTTTAGGATCAAATGTATCTAAAAGAAAATTGAAGTGACACTTACTATGGAGATGACCGAAACTCTCCCCTAAGGTAATTTGGTCTTGTGTTAGGACTATTAGAAAGAGGTTTTAGTTAGAAAAGTGGATTAAATGGAAGAAAATTTGATTAAAAGGGTAGAGGAAAACCTATTGGAAATTTGATTTGTAGATCCTGATGATGTACATCAACCCATATAGCCAACAACCCTATCTAGTAATACTGAACTTAGTTCTTGTTTTTGTTTAAGTTTCTATTCAAGAATGAAAGCATATTTTTCTTCAAAGACAAACATACTCTATTTCCCACCAACATACTAAGGCAATGCCGTACCCATTTTTGAATCAAACTAAATGCTTCCTAATCCCAACTGAATTTTGTGACTTTGAGTAACGTTACTGATCAGCCATCTTACCATCCCATTCACCATGATATGCTTATGACCAACTGTTGCCACTGTATTGCTACCATAACCTATTCTGCTGTTGTCACCACTCACCAAACTCCCGAGTCCCCAGTCCATGCCAATTCCATGGAATTTTAGTCATGACATTCACCACTGTCCCACCATGACAATAAACTTCAACTATGACTCGCTATCATCATAGGTTGTCATAACCATCTTTATCAACTTGTCAACATCTGACTGCTCATGTAGCACAGATTTAGATACCACATGAACACGGACACAGAGATATAGTAAAATAAAAAAACATAGGACACGTAGACATGACATATATATAACATGACAAAAAATATTATATATTGATATGGAGGACTACGGTTCTATACTTTGAAGGCTAAGGAGAGACATGAGAACAATTTCCTTCCTTGTTTCTGTTTTTATCAAGATTTTTTTCTTTTCCTTTTCAAAATCTTGAATTCTCCCTTTATTGTTTCTATTTTTATCTGAATTTTTCTTTTTTTTAAAAAAAAAAATCTCGAATCAGCAAGTTGGGCCACGCGCATCTCAGATTTGGGTCATACGTGTCGGGTTGTTTGGCTGTGCCCGTATCTGCGTATCCACAACTAGGCTGCGTGTCCACAACTAGGCGACGTGTCCATTTTGTGTGTTTATGACTGGGAGTGTCCATTTTGTAGGAGTTTGCGATTAAGATGTGTCCGATTTGTGCAGATGCAATCTGCCTTTGTGTCTATGGCGTGTTTGCTCTAATACAGTGTCAGAGTCTGAGACATGGCAATCCCATGCCATGTCCATGCATCATAGCTCCTCAACCATAACATCGGCTCAATGATTTATTTGCTGAGTGCTGATGCCACCTTCAGTGCCACATCATGTGCCACATCATAACCAATTATCACATTCTAAAAAGCAAGCTGTTTCATCCACTTGGCCATTGCAACACTGTTTCCTATACAGTCTCCAAATTACCATAATATCAAGCACCCAACCAGCTAGAGATGAATGGAAACAAATGGTAGTGATGTATTTTAATTGAGGATAACTTGTGGTCCTCAAAGAAACAAGATTACTCAAAAAAACAAGCAAAATGAGAAACAAAAAAGGCACTGCAAGCTAAAACAAGCCTTGACTTCCTAACTTGAGCCAACTACTCGGACTTGCAACCAAAACCAAAATTGAGTTGTCATGGATATAACATATCAAACAATGATATGTGAGAAGACAAAATATGGGAGTTTGTCAAAGAAACATCAATGACATGAATAAAAAACTTGAGTTGCTTTAATCGGATTTCTAGAAAGACCTTCCGGTTGCAATGCGTGCACAATGTTTCATGAGCAACAGATGCAGAACATACTGAAATCCTGAACATTCCAATTCCATAACTGCTTCAATCAGAAGCTGAAGCTTGGGAAATACAGGCAACATTGATACAACCTAATGCTAATAGTAATATGTACTATCAATAAACTAATAATGTGTTTGGATGAGGAATTTTAAGAGAGTACATTTATTTTTTGTGAATTTAAAATGGTTTTAGAGTGAAATAATTGATGAGGAATTTAGAAAGAATTTGAAATTCTATAATTTGTGAAAGTATTTGATTACTGAAAAAGTAAGAATATGAAATTCTTCATACTTACTTTCTCTTATCTCACCTCTATATTTTTTATTTCTCCTTTCTCTCCTCTCTCTTCCCTCGCTCTCTCATCTCTTTCTTCTTACTCTTCCTTTCTCTCTCCCCTTTCTGTCTTCTGTCTCTCTTCTCCATTCTCTCTCTCTTCACTCTCTCTCATCTCTTTCGTCTTACACTCCTTTTTCTCTCCCCTTTCTGTCTTCTATCTCTCCCCTCTTTTCCCTTCCTCTCTATTCTCTCTCTTTCCCCTATCTTTTCTTTTCCCTCTTTTTCTTCTCTCTTCCTTCCATTTTCTCTTTCTTCTCCCTCTCTCTCCTCTCTGTTTCTCCCATCCCTCACTATCTTCTCTCCCTCTTTCTTTTCTCTCTTTTTTCTCCTACTTCTGTCTCCTATCTATCAATGTTTAGAAATTTGAATTGATTTTATCCAAATAAAATATTTGATAAATGATGAAAATTTAAATCAAAGTAATTCAAATTTAAAGAATTTTAAATTCCCTGAAATTTTAAAATTCCCCCTTACATACACAACCTAAAAATATTCTGAAAGATATTCAAACTTTTAATATTAAGGACATCCACATTCCATGGCCAAATAAACAAACAGCGGTGCAGAACTACAAAAATCAAACAGTTCAAATAAAACTGTACCTCAAGTGCACTGTGCATGGAACTCAAATCCTCAAATTCAACAAAGCCAAAACAGAATCCATGCTGCAAGAAGCCAAAAAAATATAGCTCATAAGCTTGCCTCAGACAATGCTTAGATAATTTGAAAATGCAGACAGTAATATCCAGACCTTGCTACTTCTAACTTGGATGCCACCATGCTTAATAGGACCAAATTTCTTAAAGACCTCTTCAAGTTGTTCAACTGTTGCATTAAATGGCAAGTTCCGTATGTATATGGAGTGACCTTCAACTGTTAAAAGTACAGAACAAGTCAATTAATTTCCAAACTATAATTTAATGCACCAGTATATATGAAGTTATAAACTTTATCAATTCATTTGGCCTCCTTTACTTTAATGTATTTGTTCAAATCTCTTCCGCTCACAAGTCATTTTTAGATGAAACAAATAAGCCATGGAGGAAAATGTGTCTAGATCACAGTTGACTGGTCTGAAAAAGAAAATGGCCATCAACCATGTCAATGAGCACCAATATATACCTTCTTCATGAACATCACTACTTCCAGGTACACTATCACTGCTAGGAGCACCAATATATGCCTCAGGTGCAGGAGTTGATTTGGCAGTACTAGGCCATTGTTCACTGGGTTTAGCAGATGCCATTCTTGCAGCTCGGCTAGGAACATAGACATGACCGGATGCTGTGTTACTTTTCATTACCTTCATGTAAATGAAAATCATTAAGTTAATAAATGCAAAGAAACAGAAGAGTGGCACAAGGCAAGAAAATATATAAGCACAAACGCACAATGGCTGCATATGATCTCCTTGGTGCATCATCCTGGATAGCAGAAGTTGAATCATGAACTGTAACAACATCATTCTGACTTAAATCAGTAGGGGGTTCAGCAACCTCTTCATCAATAACAGATCCTTCGTCCTCATCCTGAGGATTATAAACTTCAGCACCATTATCAAGGTTTTCACCCTCTGCCAAAGTTGAAGTGTCTTCCACAAGATGTTCAGGAGCATGCATATCCTCTAGAAACATGGGTGCAGCAATTATGAATTGAAGTTTAAGCAAACCAAAGAAATGTTGAATACATATATTTATATATATGTGTGTGCGGAGAAAAATCATTCTAACCTGATTCTGGCACATGCACTGCCTCAGCATTTTCATTGATGACATTTACCGAGGCAGAATTTAATTGTGGTGTATCATTCTCCTCAATGTACCTAAAGACGTCATTTAAGACATAATATCCTTTATCTTGTGGAGCCAGAAAGAATGTCTGTGAGAACTTCCTTCTCACATTATCCTTCCCAGTTAAGCATCCAGTTACTAAAACTATCACACCTTTCTCATATGACTCCTGAGCATCTGCAGTTTTTATTTCTGCTGTATAATCTTCATAATTCAGGGAGATAATCTTTTCATTGATTTCCTGATCCAACAGTTAGGTAAGGAAATTCTTCAGAAACCAAACCATTAATTGCTTCTAAGGGAGTACAAATGTTAACACAAGCAAGACATATTACATGACACTTATTTAGCAGGAGAGTGCGCATGTTAATCTTACATTATAATATTAGCTAAGTATACCAACAAGTGTGAATCTTGCCTTAGGCAGCTTGAGCATGCATGAAAAAAAGTGGTATAAGCCCCAATTAATAGAGAAAATTAGATGGATCGTAGCCCTATCACTAAAGGTAGAGGGAACCGAGAGAAACTACAGGTAAAACAATGAAAGATTTAGAGGTCAATGGTTTGTCTATGGACATGGCTAAGAATACAACATTACAAATTTGATCCATGTAGTCTACTTCACATAGTGGGAAAATGCTTGGTTGTTTCTGTTATTGGAGAGGACAAAACAATCTCAGTAATTGTTAAGCTAAATATGTTCCGAGAAGAACTAGTTTAGCCAAATGACAGAACTGTTCATATAATCAATAAAAAAAAATGGATGTTCAGTTATTGCTCTTTCAAATATGTACGAATACCTAAGTTTTACAATTATAATAGTCAATTGTAAAGGTAGAATAGTAAAAAAATTTATTTTACTATTATACCTTTGCTCCTCACAAACCAAGCAAATGGGTCCTTTCTTCCCTTCCCTTCCCTTCCCCTCCTTTGAAACAAGCAATGCTTAGTATATTTTGTTTGAAAAGGACACTTTATCATACCTTTAAACAAAAACTTCTCCATGATATCTGAATCATAATTATTTTAACAGAGTTTTATTTCAGAACAAAACCTAACAACCAATTCTTTCTCTTTATTAAGTGTATGATAACAATATAAATCCCAGAAAACTAACCTCTTACTTAGTTCTTAAAGTATTGCAAGAAACAACCCTCAGGATTTCATATACTAGACTGCTGTACAAAAGCTCGGTCACATTTTTTTCCAAATGCTCTTGATATTAAACTTATATACTTTCAATTCAAAATTTAAGGAAGAAACATCAGTTAAATATTCTTAAATCCAAAGCTACAAATCCATAACAGTTGAACCACAATTGCAGTCATCTAGTGGTTTAATTGGTGCATTTTTATTTCAGTCATTCTATAGTTAAATGAGGACCTGATTTAGAAATAATGTAAGATAAAATGCATAATATGTGACAGGTTGAAAATAACCATTTTCAAAGTGGACACAAATACCTAATTCCAAAGAGTCAATAACAATTTCATTGCATTCTGTCTCTTTATATCTTTCACAGTATTTAAAATATTCATTTGGATAATTATTCTACATACCCATGGATTTGGATGTAAACAATACATGTCTTTATCACCAAAGAAGTGATTTATACATGCATAATCTGGTAGATTTTAAGACTTATAGACTTACCTTTGTAGTTGTCACAGTTGTCATCACACCATTGCTGTCTGATCTGCTTAAGAAACTTGAATCCTGATAAAACCTGTGCACCAAGTTTGGGGATTGGTGCAAAATGTGATAATATTGCTCCACAAAGGCATTGCCAACAACTTGAGCACTGGGAGTGGTGGCAGGGCTTGTTTCTGGCATTGCCATCTGCAATGAAATTTACAGTAATGTAAAACAGAAAAAAATCATTAATGAAATGATGGGCAATATCAATCACCGTTGTGGAAACCAAGAGAAATATTTCAGCTTGCCACCTTGCTATGCCCCACCCCCATCTCAAATTAACTAAAGAACTTGAATAACTTATATGCCATAAAAAGGACAAAACAAATCCTCTTGAAAAAGAATAGATTTTTTTTTACAAAACTCTATAAAAATCTAAAAATAAACTAATCCAAAAGCTCACTCAGTGTCTTGAAATCAAAATTTAGGGAGAAAGCAATTGCAAAGCGTCGGGTCGCAGAGCCTAGAAACTAAGAAAAAAAACACAAATGTAGGGTGGAGAGATAAGATAGAATGAAATTCACATTTGCTGAATGTCAGACACGAATCCTTAAACAATAAACTCGTGAAACAGCTGGCCAGTGTCACCACATGTCCTTTCATCCCTAAAGCAAATGATGAAGCTGAATGTCATGAATCACACGAAAGGATGAAACACTGACCGTGTCAGTAGCTGTTTCCAAAAACTAAAAAGCAGGTTCCCCAGTACAATGATCAGAATTCAGAATGCCTAAACCAATGTCCCCGTTCCATGTCAAATGCGAGTACTATATTAAATTCGCAACAGTATCTAACTATTAGCGCAATAAAACATCCTAATCAAGCCACTAGACAGCAGTACAGTACAATCATGACAGAAACAGTTAAGCAATTTCACACAATTTAGAGTCGAAAAGCCAGCGATCATGAGAATAGTAAAATTCAAGTAAAAGCCCTAAACAGAATCAAAGTGATAACCATCCGAATCGTGGAGAAAAAGAGTTAACTAAACCAAAAGTGTGAGCGAAGAGTAACGCACTTGGTTGAAGGAAGAGTAATTAGTCCAAAACGACGCAGTATTGACAGATCAGGTAGGAAGCAAGGTGGTACAGAAAACCATAACCGAAAAGTAGCGTATCTGAGAATTGTTAAGAGGAAGGAGTTGATGAGAAGACGCACGTGCGTACCTGATTGGTGGAAGACACGATTTACAAAACAGAGAGAGAGATCGACACGACAGAGTCCTTGAAGGGCGTGGGAGGAGAGAGAGAGTAAAGATTCTGAGCTTAGTTTGTGTTGTGTTCGGAGATCACAAGAGACGATGACTCCTGCTGTTGCTTTTTCTTTTTCTTTTTCTCTAAGATGCCTTTACCATTACAAGATTAGATTATTATATTAGATTAGATTACCCATATTAAATTCGATCTTTGTTAGATAGGATTCTTCCATGAAAATATTTTTAGATATTTTTTAAGCTTTTTATTTAATTGAATTTTAATTAAAAATTACTTTGGATTATAATATAAAATAATCATCGTAAATCTAAAATGTAATTTCTGTATTTAAAAATCTATTTATTAATGTTTAACTTGCATAATGTACAAATTTTTTATTTTATATTAAATAATTTATAATAAATAAATATTTTTAATATTTAACTATAATTAAAATTTATGATAAATTAATATTTTTTATCATTTAAATTATATTTTCCAAATTATAAAAAATAGTTGTTATAATACAAGATTACAAGAAAAAAAATATATTACCATACAAAATTATTTTTAACTATTAATAATTTTATTGAAATCTATTTTAAAAATAAAAATGATAAATAAATAGCCACGTGTAATAAGGTATTTTCATTTAATTACATTAATTTCTCCACACACAATAAGAACAACTTATTTAACCTTGGAAGTACAATTGATTAATGATTGTTAAAATTAGTTAAATAAAAATGATTTGGTAATACCACTAATTGAATTGATTGATAGTATTAATTTCTTCATGATTGTCATTCTCAAAAAACCTAACCTAATGACCAAATTTATCCATCGCGTTGAATTCAGAAATTAATTGTTTTCTAGTGTATTTGTTGTTATTTTTCGTTTTAAATGTATACATGCATAAGGCGCCTAAATTTTTTAATTGGAGATGTAATTTTTCTATTTTAGAATAAGTTATATGTATTTCAATACAAAAAAATTTACACGTTCAATTAAGAATAAATTATATTAAATATAATTATTATACTTAAATTATAATTTGAATATTCTAGTACGTTAGAAAAAAGTTAAAGTCAATGATAGTTTATGGGCAAACGTCTTTCTCTAAGTCTAGTCTTATTATAACATTTTTTTAAGATAAAATTATATCAAACGCCTATATTTTATTTTGGGTGTAACGTTTTTAACGATATTAGCAAGTTTGAGAAGAAGAGTGAGTTTGAAATTTTGAATCCCTCTTTATTCTTTAAACTTAATTGTGAATTAATTCTGTAATATAAAGAAAATTTAACATCACTCATAGTCATTTTCAAACTTCTATACTTTCTGTGCATTTAAATTAAATTCATGTTTTTTTATTCATGTGAGGAACAAAAAGTAAAGTCAAAAAAATATATTCTACTTCTACCAACTGAGTTGTTGACGCATATCGAGTAAGTAACTTTCATTTTCTATTGAGCTGTCAAAGTGGGCTCCAGCCCGTGAGCCAACCCGGCCCACCTTGAAAACGTGCCGGGCCGGGCCAAAAAAATAAAACAAAATTATGATAGGTCAAAAAATGTGAACCGGCCCACTTTCGATCCGGCCCACCCGGGTTGAACCCGTGGTGGGCCGAGCGGCCCACCTGACCCACTTACCAACCCATTCACTTAACCCACTAACAACTCACTTAACTATTTATTATTATATATATGCATTATTTTAATAAGATATCATTTTTTTTATATATAAATATAAAATTAATGTTAAATAATATGAAATTGCTATAAATTTATCTACCCAAACCTCCAATAAAATTTAATATTGATGAATAATCACTCTCATGAAAGAATTTTTATTTTCGGTTTTAATTTTTTAAATTTGTACACTTTTTAATTTAATTTTAATGTTGTATCCATAATATTTAGTTTGATAATTTTTACTTTAGATTATATATTATTTTATATTGAAAATTATTTTAAATTATAATTTTTTTTAAAAAAATCAGGTGGGTTGGTGGGCGGCCCGTTTAGCCCACCAACCTGTGGTGGGCCGGGCCGGGCTAAAAAAATTTGCATAATAAACTTGGTGGGCCGGGTCGGGTTGGCCCACTTAAAAAGTGGGTTGAGGTGGGTCGGGCTGACCCGTTTTGACAGCTCTAGTTTTCTATTTGTATACTATGCTTTTGAAAATTGAAACACGAACAACATTTATAATAAATTTTGCCATGGCCATCTTATGTACCTTGATCGACTTGTCACTAGTGTAAAAATTGAATTTAAAATCGGAGTTTTAAGATCGGTTATAAGGTAATCGATTTTAAAAATGACGCGGTGACAATTTTATAAATAATATGAACACTTTTAAGATCAGTTAAAATTTAACCGATCTTAAAAGTACTTTTAAGATCGGTTAAATTTTAACTGATCTTAAAAGTGCTACTTTTAAAATCGGTTGTCTTATAACCGATTTTGTATGTAGTATACAAAATCGGTTCATAAATAACCGATTTTAAAAGTAGCACTTTTAAGATCAGTTAAAATTTAACCGATCTTAAAAGTACTTTTAAGATCGGTTAAATTTTAACTGATCTTAAAAGTGCTACTTTTAAAATCGGTTATTTAAGAATCGATTTTAAAAGTGCTACTTTTAAAATCGGTTGTCTTATAACCGATTTTGTATGTAGTATACAAAATCGGTTCATAAATAACCGATTTTAAAAGTATCGTCAGAAACCTTTTATATTTCTCTCCATTCTCATTCTCTTTAATCTTTCCCTTCATTCAGTTTTTTACTCTCTTGCGCTCTCAATTTCTAAAGTCTTCAATAAGGTAAATTTCGTTATCATTTTCGTTTTCGTCTTCTCATGCTTTTCTTGCGTCTCTTTTCGTTTTCTAATGCTCTTCTTTTGTCTCTATTTTCGTTGTAGGTTCATTTTGGGCAAATTACGAAACTGGAACGGACTGTTCTGCATGGAGAACGGGTCGTTCTCCTTCTAGAACGGGTCGTTCTCCAAGGAGAACGGGCCGTTCTGCAAGAAGAACGCCCCGTACTCGTTTTTAAAAACCTGGAACAGCCTGTTCTAGTTTTGGAACGGCCCGTTCCAATTTAATTTTTTTCGCAGCCCGAACTTTTTAGATCGGTTATAAAACAACCGATCTTAAAAGTTAACTTTTAAAATTGGTTAAATAACCGATTTTAAAAGTCTAACTTTCAAAATCAGCTCTTTTAAAATCGGTTACGAAACCGATTTTAAAAAATTAAAAATAACCAATTTTAAATGCGTTTTATTCACTAGTGTGTCCCGGTCACAAAGCACAATTAAACTATACAGTACAAACTACTACTTTCCAAAATGGATCTTGACTTACGTGCCAGCTAAGATTGAAATTATAAGGCAGTGATGTAGTTCTTGCGTATTTTTATATTTTTGGCTAGTGCTTGCGCTGCGTATTTAAGGCACAAATATGCTTAAATTTTGAGGTTTCTTTACGAATAAACGAGGCATGAGTAATCAACAATCATAATGAATATTTTTGGTGTGCAAGCAATCATAATGAATACTATGTTCAAAGTGAAACCGGTCCCAAATTCAATTCGGACTAAATTTATTTACAATTTGTTAATTGTTATGTACTTATTTAAGCATTATTTTAATTAAATTATAATTTTATCTTAATAAGTAATTTTAACTTTAATAATTAATTATAACTTTGACTAAAATGATACATGTACATTTGTACAAATTACTCTTATTTTTATTAAAAACATATTTACCTACAATAACCGTTTTCATGTAAGTATTGGAATGACATTTTTTGAGACATTGTATGATAGAAGGTGTAGGACTTCATTATGTTAGTTTTGTAGACCACTAAGAATGTGAAATAAATTTAGGAGAGAATGAGGATTGTCTAGAGTATACAGAATCCTTATGTTGACTAGAGGAGAAAGCCTCTAAAATTTGAAGAGGGGAAACATGTGTTCCTAAAAGTGATACCAACTATAAGAGTAGGAAGGGTGGTGAGGGCCAAAAATTTGGGATCAAGGTTCTTTTGTCCTTACCAGATCCTTTGTCGCTCTTTCTATCTAACCTTCATGATGTGTTCCACATTTTTCAATTGAGAAAGTACATAAGAGATCTAAGTCATGTGGTGGAGATTGATGAAGTGCAAGTTAGAAAGAACTTAACCTATGAGAAGAGACTTGTAACTGTAGTTGACCACAAGCTGAATGAACTAAGGGGTAAGACAATTGACTTCTTTGAAATGTAGCTACTAGTGACGCGACCTAGGGGTGGAGGAGCAATTCAAAGCTCTGTATCTATTCCTATTCTCAAGTAAGCCTATTTTTTGGGACGAAAATTCTTATTTGTTTAGGAAATTGTAACACAATGCTTTAGGAAACGTAATTTTGTTTTATGAAACTTGAAAATGTGTGGTTCTTAAAACACTTTCATATTCCCTTCCATTTCTTCTTTTGGTTCCTCATGAATCCCAAAGTGGTAGTGTTAGTGTATAGTTATTGTTGTAGACCTTTGGAGTTGAAGACCAACAATGTGAGTGAAAAGCTTGGGAACTCATAATCACTCTCTCACTACTACAAGACACGCTATCTACATCGGTTCTTTAACATCATCTACATCGGTTCTAAAACCGATGTAGAAGAGAGTGACGTAGTAAATGTATACAATTTTACATCGATTTTAAAACCGATGTAGAATAGTCATAAATCTACATCGGTTTTTATTATAATCGATGTAAATCCTGAATGCCGAAGTCGAAGCAACCAGTGTTGCTGAAGTTCCTCCTCAGCAGCTTGTACTCCTTCACCTTCAAACCAATCTCCAGAAGTTGCATCGCCTTGTCACCCCTCACCATCACATAGCACGCAATCTTCTCGTTTCTTCTGATCCCAAACGAAAGCACAATGTACCTAGCTGCCATTGCCATTGCCATTCAACCAATCAATACTCATTCAACAATTGCAAAAAAAAAAATCACAATAACAAATAATACCTTTGGAGAAAACAGGGGTTTGGCCACTGAGTTGTTCCAAAACCTAAGAGAGTGAGAGAAAATACACAACATACAAAAAATTAAAATTAAAAATTAAAATAAAATAAAGAGGGTTAAGGTTTTACCATTGTGGAATCTGCTTCTG